TGACTTTCCTATTTTAGATAGCACAAGAAATGAATCAAATGTGTGTCCAACAATTTTCGATACCACTGTTAAGTCTCTAGATGAATCTTCCGATTCAGTTGATCAAGGCAATAAACGCAATGACACATGTCATGTAGAATTAGATAACTCTTATACTGATGTAAAGGTAGACAGCATATCTTGCAAGCTCGAAGCAAATGAATCAAATGTATCAACTGATTCAAATATTCAAAATGAAAATATAATTAAAAACACTTTAGATGGCAAGTTTCCATCAATTGATCAGATTTTAAATGTGCTGGTAAATGAAAATGTTTCTCATACTGAGATACCACGCTCGGTTAAAGAGAATGAGTACTTTGTGCTAGACAATCAATCAAATATGACTAGGAAAGCTAAGTCTAAGAAAATGGAGTTTTGGGACGATTGTGGAACATGGGATTCCAAATCAACCTCAACTAAAACAACATATTTTGTAGTATAAATTATAACAATTTGGTGTCTTGTGTTAAAAAGAATGATATGTATTGTAAAATAATAAAAAAAGGAATTTATTCCTTTAGAGCCACAACCTGATGATTCTAATTTGTTCATCCTTAAACGGTATTATGCATCTCTGAAAAGAATGAATTCTTATAAAAAAAGAATTAGTTGGTTCGATAAAATGCCTGGCCATTCATTGGAAACAATGAATAAAGCCATAGCAGAGTACATAGGAACTTATCCTATTGAAGTAGTTAACAAGCATGGTAACGCTAAACTGACAAATCAAGAATATATCAGAACATCACCTGATACTAAATCGCAAGTTAGATCAGAAATAGAAGTTGGAAAATCAGTTAAACAAATTTTCACTGATAACTTTGAATCTGAACATCAGCCACGTGACTCAAAATATGTCCAAAACGTTAAATATCATGTTAATAATGAAAAAAATCCTTTCAACAAACAAAATATTGCTGATGATATGCAAACTGTTATTAAAATGAATTCTGTCAAGCATCCTTTTTTGAAAGAAATTGTTCAGACCACAGGCAAACCACCAAGTGTTATCTGCTACACAGATTTCCAAATGAAGCATTTTGCCAGTGCTTGTAAATCATCAATAATTGGTGTTGACAGAACATTCAATTTGGGCGCCTGCTTTGTCACAACAACTGTTTTCCAGGAAAACAAACTTAAACGCAAAGGGAAAAACACAAACCCAATAATAATGGGACCAATTTATTTGCATTGGGATGGTGCTTGCCATATCTTACGCAAAAAGTTATTCCTACTATAAGGGATTACGTGTACAATGCTCGAAAAACAGAGTCGAGAATTCCATTGCAATGGAAAAACAATAATTGTGAATCAATCAATCACATCTTGAAACTAAATCAAGATTGGAAGCCTGAGAAACTTCCAGAGTTAATTAATAAAATTCACAAAGAAATAAAGTTGCAAGAAAGTCTTGTCAATGGCGCACTTTATGGACATGGAGACTTTGAGCTAAGCTCCTCAGTAAGCTATTTTCAATGCACAAAAGCTCTATGGCAGATTAAATCGGAGAAAGAAAAGGCTTTTGCATTGCAAAAATTCTTGACTCATGGGAGAATGTTAAACGCAATCCCAGAGTCCACCACTTCAACAGATGGTGGGCTGACAATCCCCAAAACAAGTGCATGTGCACGTAAACCTTGCCAACGGAAACGTATTAAAAATGCTAAAACTACAACTTCAAAAAGGGCAAAAATACAGTGAACCTTAGTGGTAAAAATCTACGGTTTATCAAAATGGGTCCACCATGTACAAAATGTATAAATATTATGTTAGATAGGAATGTACATATTACTATATAATGACTAAAAATAATTAAAAAAAAAAAAAAAAAAATTATATGGACCCCAAGGTAGAACCACGTCCTCGTCGTGGGGTCTGGAAACACGCTTAAATAATAAAGATGGCAAAGCGTGGCTGAGAGTTCTACAAATAAAACATCGAATTGACATAACAAGAGTACACTTACAGCATAGTATTAAGCAAATGAATCAAAATATTATATTCCATTATGCCCGCTCCATATATATCTCCATTCGTTTATTCATACTTTGACTTTGATGAAAACAGATACATACATTATCTTATACATATTCTTCATATTTAAAAATAAAAAAAAAGAAGCTCAATCTCTTTCTTCTTCACAAATGTTTAATTTCTTCATCTACCAATATACTAATATAAACTTCACAATCTCTTTCTTCCTCACAAATGTTTCATTTCTTCGTCTATCTATATAATAAAACATTTTAATTAGACATATCTGCTCGTATATTTAAAAAAAAAACATTTAATACAAATTTCTTTATATCTAATAAAAAAAAATGTTTTCTTGTCGCTAAATAGTCTTCTTGTCGCTAAAATAATTCTTGTTGTCGCTTCTTGTCGCTTGTTGACGCTTCTTGACGCTTGTTGTCGCTAATTAGTGAGACCCCGGCGCTAGCGAAGATGACCTCAATTAAACTGATCGAAAGATCATGTCTTCATCATATGAATATCAGGCATAATCCCTCCTGTGAGGGGTTTAGTATTATCAGAGACATATAATATTATATGTCTCTGGTATTATACCGTCATAAAATATATGAGAAGAACATAACCCGTGTCATGCCAACAACTGGGGCGTGTTTTTTTGTTCTTCGGTAGTGAGCCAGAAGAGGTCCATTTCTGTTTTTTTGAATAGAGAAGATCTTCTGGCTCTCTTCCACCTCTTCTTTTTTGATGGGTAGTTTAGACAGAAGAGGCACATAACAAACATGGCGTCGTTTAGTCTAAATGACATTAATAAATTTATGAATGCAGATATATTAGAATGTGAGCTGTGTTATAAACGTTTTTATGGTATGACAGTCTTAGTAGGACATCCATGTAGGACGATAAGCTGGATAAATATAAGAACTACACGGACAATAACAGTTAAGGGACGACTATTTGATATTCTAGGGAAGGGATTTTGATTGATTATTGTTTAACGCTACTTTCAACACTAAGTTGGGCTATTCCGTGGTGGTCAGTTTAAATTTATAGATGAAGGATGGGGAAGGGAAGAGGGCATTATTAACTTTTTTAATCTGTCGCTACTTATGCCTATTTTTCAGCTCTAACCAGGCAACTATATTCATATATGAAATCCTCCTGTCCCCCACCACAATAAATGAATAAATATCAAATGGGTTTTCTTCTTATTTAACACAAGTTTAAATTGATTGATTGTTTGTTGCTAATTTTTAACGCCCAGTGACAAATATGTCATGCATGTTCAGTACTCGGTTCAGGAAAACACGAGTTTAAAAGTCAGGTATATAATATAAAAACGAAGAGATGTATGATTTCTAATGAGGAAACTATCCACCGGAGTTCAAATATGAAGTGGGTGTAAGCAATTATAGACAACCGTAATTAAGGCCTTCAACAATGACAAAACCCGATACTGTAAAAGTCGTCTATAAAAGGCCCGACGTGAAAAGTGTGAGAAACAATTCAAACGAAAAAACTAACGGCCTAATTTTACATAACAAAATAATTTACAAAATATCAAATATGAGTCGAGGCATGAACCAACGACAACCACTAAACTATAGGCTCCTGACTTGGGACAGGCACAAAAGAATATGGCAGGGTTGATATAAAAATGAAGATTGCCAATGAGACAACCCTCCACAAGAGACCAAATGACACAGCAATTAACAGCTATAGGTCACCGTACGGCCTTTAACAATAAGCAAAGCCCATACCGCAAAGTCAGCTATAAAAGGCCCCGAAATCACAAATGTAAAACAATTCAAACGAGAAAACTAACGGCCTAATTAATGTACAAAAAAATGAACGAAAAACAAATATGTAACACAGCAACAAACGACAACCACTAAATTACAGGCTCCTGACTTGGGACAGGCACATACATACAGAATGTGGCGGGGTTAAACATGTTAGAAGGATCCGGTCCAACCCGCCCCCTAAGTAACCTGGGACAGTGGTGTAACAGTACAAGAACATGTTTGTGAGCGCTCAGTCCTTCCCGGCCGAAGCTGGGACTGTGGTGTAACAGTACAAGATATAAGAACAACCTGCACAAACCAATTGCAATTAGATTAACTCCAAAGATCGGTACGAGACACACACAAAAAAACTTACATTAAGACAATAGACACAAAGCACCGAAATAAGAGTATTTGCAATTACTGGAAGTTTGTTCAAAGCTAATAATTAACAACTAGTACTGAAATAAATCTTGTTCTCCCAGACTGAAGTATCAATCAGTACACAACCAACGGATTTATTAAAAAAAAAGAAAAAAAAAACAGTCTGAGAAATGTCTGGTATACATTGTATACTTGCATATTGATACATATACAAGGAATATTTTTGAAAAGTGGTGGTCCGAAGGTTTTGACCATCGACATTTTGCAATAGAAATGATAGTTAGGAGCAGAAGATTTTCTTCAAGGACCATCAGAGAAAATGATTTTGAGACCTTTCCGATATCTTTGCTTTATACAAAAATAATCCAGTTTGGTTACTTTAAAAAAATTGGATAGACAAGATGTCCTTTTTGATCATATTCGAGACAAAACATTGACGAATTTTTGTGCAGTCTAAGATTATTCTTAAAAATCAAATAGTGGGGGTTTAAGACAGATTTGTCTAGCAAAATTGAGTTAGAGGAATGAACAAAGAAAAATGTCACGAACAGAGCACACTTGCAGTCATGTCTACCGGACGTATCTTAATTTTCTATAAAATCATCGTAAACTTCATTTATGTCATCCAACATAACAAAAATCAGCTATATTCGACGGCAAATTGAATTTTTGTTTTATTGATCGTCCGTAGAATATCTCCAGAAGAGGTCCAGATTCATTTTTTTAAACTCTTCACCAGAAGACATTCTGGAGATGTGCAGAAGAGACCAATAAAACACGCCCCTGGTTTTACATTTTTGTTACATGGTGACAGATTCGTCTAAAAACCGTATCCCGGAACTGCCGTAACCGGAAGAATATTTTATATAGAAAAAAAGACAGAAAATAGGAACTACAAAGATTTTACCAGATAACATTAAATTGTAATTTGCCCTTCTACTGAATATGGGTCAGGTAATTTCCACTTTAAACCCAAAAAAATCTCAGCTTTGGATGTAATCGTTACAAAATACAAAGCTCAACCACATTCACTGATTCAGGGTCCAGGTTTACAAAATAGAGAATGATGGGCAAACAGTACAGAATAAAAGGCAAAAGAAAATCAGGAATAGAGAATTATAGAAAAAAATATAAAGAAGAGAGAATGCTATATATAAAGAATAGAGGATAATGGACCATCAAAATAAAGATGCAGAAATAATTTATAAAAAGATCCCCATGCAGACTCTCTCACAGGTCCATTGCTGGTAAACATTCACACAACCTGTTAACATCTTATGATTCATCATAACCCTTTGACAAATATGATAGTTATCACCTGACAATTTGTTTTCAAACTTCATTCTTAGTAAATGTACAGACATTGAGACAAAAATGTGCACGTTAGTTAACACCTGACAATTCGTTTTAAACCTTTATTCTTAGTTAATGTATACATAAACTTGCCAGAATATTCATCATGTTGAATGTGGGCAGTATTTGGAAGAAGAAGACATACATACCTGTGCACGTTGTAAAGCATGGCTGGACCCAATCCAGATAATCATGATGTCTGCTGAGGGTATTGAAACAAATTTACATCTACATTTGTATCAATGAACCTTGAATAGAGTTTTCTATACATATATTTGACTCAGACTTCTTTTGAACTGAGTTTTACTGTCCATATTGCTGTGTGTTTGTTTATTCTTCATTGGCTAGAGGTATAGGGGAGGATTAACATCTCACAAAACATGTTAAACCCTGCTGCATTTGATGCTGTTTTGTGCTCTCTGGTCGGGTTGTTGTCTCTTTGACACAGTCACCGTTTCCATTCTTAATTTTATCTAGTAGACAGCAACCCAAAAACATTTCTCATAGTCTTATATATATAGAGTTTGTCAAATTCTTTTGCTTTTTGATTGTATAACTCATACGATCCCTTGTCTCAGTTTTATTAGGTATGTTATTTGCTGGTTTTATAACACCAGTATATAAGTGTATAAATCCTTTGTCTGTTTACATATACATGATTCTGATGGATCCAATTACATATAAGCATGAAAAGTATTCATTGTGGAAAATTCAGCTTCTCAGTATCACTCAGAGCTCAGAAATAAGTATTTTTTTTGGTTTCTGACTCACAGAAGTCAAAGTATGCATTATGATTAAAATGTTTTTTGTCCAAGTCAGAAAATGACAGAATATTTTAGCATATTTAGGTCAATTTTTGTATCATAAAACAGGATGAAAACACTTAATATGACTGGGATTGGGTCTTTGTTTTGGGAGTATTCAGGATTTACACGTCTTATATATCAGTACTCAGAATTTAATGAATAATTTTTTCTGATCCATGGATGCTTAATTTTTTTTTCGAGATTTCGGATTCAGTGTTTATTCTGGGAATTCAAGATGACATCCCCTCTTACCCCCCTCAAAGTCGGGGGTCTCATCTCACTGCTATAAGTAGATTATTTTTACCTAATTGAGTAAATGTTCCCATTTTAATTTACTTCTTCAAGTTAATATGTAACTTCTTGTTCAAGCCAATTTTTATTTACTTCAAGTGAAAACTGAAGATTTTCAATTTTCATTCAATGCTTTGTTACATTTAATCTCAACAATTTTTTTCTGTAATTTTGAGGTGTTTAAAGGCCATATTTGCATATTTGGTAAATTTTGCATGGTCAAAGGCACTTTTGCAATGTCAAATGTTATATCAACTTATTCACTAGAATTTGGTAAATAAGCAGAAATGTGATTGGTAGTCTACTCTGGCAATGCTTGAAAATGGGCATATTTTTGTGCCAAACAAAATGTAAACAAAAAAAGAAAACTATTGGCCTGATTTACATGATGCAAGCTAATAAAATGTTTAAAGAATTAGATCATCCCTATTTGAATTTTAGGCGTCCGAGGAACCTTTTTTTTTATTTACCTCCATCAGGAACATTAGTGTGCATTTCTATTGCAATAGTCCATTTCCCAATTATAGACTTTGTTTTTCAAATTATTTGGTCTTTTTTACAAAGGTTAACAACACCTAGGTAGGACAATCTGCATCCCTGTCTATTCTAAACCTTTGAAAAGAACAAGATTTAGTGTTTTCAGTTATTTAATCTAGACTACACTTATGCTTATATTAAAAAATACTCCATCTGTCATTCTGGGGAGCAATTTTTTAAGGCATTTTGCAGTTACTTAATATCTGTGTGCAGTAGATTTCATTCATTGTTATTGAGATAAACATGATCATATGATGATAAAAGGTTTCACTCTTATCACAATATGGTTAAGGAAACCATAAGAAAATATTTGAAAGATGTTATCATGTTTTGATTTTCCAAAATTCTAGAACTTAAAAAAAAAACCACACACACAAAAGATATTTTCACTGTCCATGAAATTAAACTTTATGAATAAGGAAGACAACTTTTAAAGACAAACAATATATTAAACACTCTATTAGACCAGTGCAGTCAAGAGAACACCAAGAAAGGAAGAAGTTCTATTAATGAACCACCTTTAACAATGAGCAAATGGTTGTCATATATTTGTTTTTGATGTATCCAATTATTTATTTAAGTATAAATCAAGCAGTTAGTAATTCCTCATTTGCAGTGTTAATCATTTTGTCATGCCAGGCATTTTTTGGATAACGATTGCACTCATGCATTCAAAACTCTTATGTGTGTGGCTGGCTTGATAGTTAGGTAAATTTTTCATACTTTATCATTTCTATTCATGCTATTGAAATAAACAAAACATAGCTGGTGCAATTTGTGCACAACATTCTATATATATATCATATCCATGATATATATTATTGAACATTTTAAGACAATCAATGAAATATAATTACTCAGTTTTTCCAGTTACAAATTGGTGTGAATACATGTGTATTACCATACTAGTCAGGAATGCTTGGTGCATGAATCTAGTATCTTTTCTGAAAACATTAAAAAGATCAATGATGTTATTGTTGAAGCAAAAATTAAAATTGGAGTTATCTTCCTTTTCCCTATAAATGTAGTTTAACTAATGCATAGTTTAATACAATGCAATATTTAATTGTTCATTCCCACTGCAAAATGAATGCAATCTTCACCCTTCAGTGCTTACAAGCACTTTTGTTTGAGCTTACTATGGTTAGGGTTTTCTTCATAGTTCAAGGCCACACTGTAGTCTATAGGTGTTAAATCAGTCAGGGGAACTTTTTGTACAAGTTATTTTTATTTACTTGAAAAAGTAAATAATAATATACTTATATAAGTAAATTTGTTATATTCATTTTTTTCTTATAAGGTTTGAATAATCTCCCCTTAATTTTTTTTACAATCCCTAAAATTCTCAAGTTTTGGGATGTAAAAGCATGCCTTAATTTTTTTCTGGTTATCTCATAATATTTTATTAGAGTTCAGTGTTTCATCTCATTAATTCAACAAAGAAACTTATTGCGCAAAGATCTGAAGTAGTTGCACAAGGCCTTCGAAAATTTCCCCTTTGAGGCTTGTAAATAAGCAGTGTTTTTGTCCATGAAATTACACTTAAATGATTAGTAAAGACATCTGCAAAGGACAGACAATTAAAAATTCTATTAGCGCAAAGAAGTCCTGAGAAATTCAAGAAAAGAAGAGTATGACTTTTTTACTTGTATAAGTAAAAAAATATGAATGTCTAAAGGACATAACCAAGCCATTAAAATAATTTACCTATACAAGTACATAAAATACATTTGTATAAGTATCTTACAAATTTACCTTTATAAGTATATTGATTTTTACTTCTTAAAGTAAATAGAAATAACTTGTACAAGTAGTACCCCTGACTGTACATGCACATCTAAGTCAATTGGTCTTTGGTGGATACATGTAGCTGTCAAATTGGCAATGATATCACATCTCCTTATTTTTGTATACATTGTGTACATAAAGATCTGAAATCATGGTAATATATTTTCCAGATTGGTCAAGAAATCACCAGTACTGTATTTATTTGAAGATGCTTCTTTAAAATCAGAGTTTCCTATCTGGAGGCAGTAAATACGTATACACAAGGAAGGAAATCTGCAAAAACTTCTAGTATCAGAAATGTTAAATGGTAGCAGTACATTGTATGTAGTATGACAGATTTCATTATCTGTCTGTTTTTTGCTTTACTTGTGGTAAGTTTATTATACAATAATTCAATGTTGTATGTTTAATCTTTTTTCATTGGTGAGCGTCATGACAACCAAAAAGTTTATGCATACATAAACAAGTTTCATAAAGTGAAAAAGTATATGAAGTCCTACACATGAGATATTGTTCTGTTTGGGTTTGTATGTCCTGTTTTCTAATAAAGTAAGGGCATATTATCTTTTCCGGTACATGCATACATTCTACACCAGTAAGCAGAGAAAACTATAACACATGTGATCGTTAGGAAGGCACATTTAATAATGAATGTTAGGCGGTAAATAATAAAGGGAAATAACCCATCAATAACCATACATGTACATGACACAGGGAGTAAGGGAGATAATACAAATCAATACATATAACAATCGATACAATACACTGGCGCTAAATACCTAAGTCTGTCCAATATATCAGGTTAAAGGATTTGTTTAAGGTATAACACATTTACCATCAAGTTATGGTCAAATAAACTTTAAAATTAGTTCACATGTTAATCAATTTAATCATGTTTATTATATATAACATGTATAATATGTAATTCCTAAAATATAAGCCAAATAAATGTAATGACCTAGATTTCTTTGGTTCACTGAGAACCGAAATGTGATAAAGCCTTTTGAGAAAAAGGACACACATTCTTGATCTTATTGACATTTTTATAGGGATATTTTTAGTGCATTTAACAGGAATAAAAAATACCAGTCTTGTCATTGATAAAGGTTTTGCTGATGTATTAAGTCAGCCTTTCACACTTCAACTAACATAAATTCTTCTAGCTATACATTCATCTGTAAACTTGAAAAACAAAAATTTGATTTCATCACCAAAATTACTAAAATGTACACTGTCAGCAGGTGATTTTAGTTAAAAACAATATTGAGTGTTTTTTTACAATTAAGTTTGTTTCAATTTATGTTTTTAGCATAGAGCTGTATGTTTAAAGTTCAAAGGTGGAGATTTCATCTTATTGGACAATGAACCTGAGAATTTGTAAGTGTAGCATTGTAAATTGTGAATTGATATAAATTTTGAACAGTAAGCATGAAGAGGGACAGATGACACCAAGAAATGTATATCTTTATAAAATTTCACCTCTGAAACAACTGATGCAATGTTAAACTAACTTGATGGAAAGATCCCTAGTGTTTAGTGTTTAATTTGTGAATTCTTATTTGATGATATTTTGAATTTTGATATTAACCAATGAGCACAGAATTTCTGTGAATGAAGGTTGAGGTCATACAAAAGTCTAGTGCAGAAAGAATATGGAGGGGATGTGGTATGATTGCCAATCAATGAGCAGAACCCATACTGATAGTCAGCTATAAAAGACAAAATGTGAAGTAATTCAAACGAAAAAACCAAGGGACTGATTTACATGATTTATGACAAAACAAAAAACGAGAAAGAAATATTACAGACAGCAACCAAGAACAGACAACCACTACATGTTATGAAACTTATACACAATGCTTATTACCACAAAATACAAATCAAGTTTGAATTTTGGTGATGTCACTTGTACTGTTCTAGACATGCTAGAGTTATGCTCCTTTACAAATGGAAAAATTGCTGAATTTTTCGTTTCAGTTCTCTAACTTAAGTTTGCCTCAACCAAATGTTATGAAACTTATACACAATACTAAGACAGTAATTTATTACCACAAAAATCGGATCAAGTACTAATTTGGGTAGCATCACTTTTACCGTTCTTCAGTTATGTCCCTTTATAACTTTATATGATATGCAAGCATCCTGGCCCTGGGGCATCGTCTGTGTCCCATGGACACATTCCCCATTTATTTTATTCTGGTATCTATGATGAGTTTAATTACATTAACATGTTCTTGTCTTGAAAATGCATTTAATTTGCAAATGGTTGTTAAGCAGCCAATCATTATTAAGTCTCCCAAACGAAGTTTGGGAAGACTTATTGTTTTTGCTCAGTTCTTATTATTATTATTATTCTTCTTCTTCTTCCTCTTCCTCTTCCTCTTCCGCCGCTTTTAAATTTGAACTTGTCCACACCCGTTCTCCAAAACCGCTTGTCAGATTAACTTAGGGTTTCACAATATGTTAGACTAACATGTCTAGTGGTGCAATCAGGGTTTTGTTTGTGCAATGGGGTTTATAAAGGGGTACTTTGAGGGGCAAAAAGAAAAAAGGGTTTTACTATAGAACCCTATGGGATTTTATTTTTTAAAATTTTCAAATGATTATAAATTGAAAACCCTTTGTGATAGACACAATCTTTTTAATTGAAAATGTTCTAAATGATAAAACCCATTAAATGAAATACAGGGTTAGTCCCCAGGGGTCATCCCCACCCCCCTGCCATTTAAGAAAGTTCTAATACCTTGTAAGTGGTCAAGATCCCCACCCCTAAACCATATATATTCTGGTTTGTCATGCTAAGATGGTTTGAATGATATACAGGGTTAGTCCCCAGGGGTCATCCCGACCCCCTGCCATTTGAGAAAGTTCTAATATCTTGTAAATGGTCGAGATCCCCACCCCTAAACCATATATATTCTGGTTTGTCATGCTAAGATGGTTTGAATGATATACAGGGTTAGTCCCAAGGGGTCATCCCGACCCCCTGCCATTTGAGAAAGTTCTAATATCTTGTAAATGGTCGAGATCCCCACCCCTAAACCATATATATTCTGGTTTGTCATGATAAAGCAAATCAAAAAGAAATACAGGGTTAGTCCCCAGGGGTCACCCCCACCCTATGCCATTTAAGAAAGTTCTAATATCTTGTAAGTGGTCAAGATCCCCACCCCTAAACCATATATATTCTGGTTTGTCATGCTAAGATGGTTTGAATGAAATACAGGGTTAGTCCCCATGGGTCATCCCGACCCCCTGCCATTTGAGAAAGTTCTAATATCTTGTAAATGGTCGAGATCCCCACCCCTAAACCATATATATTCTGGTTTGTCATGATAAAGCACATGAAATGAAATACAGGGTTAGTCCCCAGGGGTCACCCCCACCCCATGCCATTTAAGAAAGTTCTAATATCTTGTAAGTGGTCAAGATCCCCACCCCTAAACCATATATATTCTGGTTTGTCATGCCAAGATGATTTGAATGATATACAGGGTTAGTCCCCAGGCATCACTAATGCATATAACTTTACTGGACCAAACCAATTTTCACTGGACTTTGCCCAATGTCAGGCGACCCTGGGAATTACGAATTATGGGAGCTTCGTTTGGGAGACTTCGTAACAGCATCCTATTACAATCATTTTTTGTTATTACTAACTATTATCCTCTATTTTTATTTTCAGGTTGTATGAAAATACATTTGTGTATGAATGGCGTTTATGCAGGGTGAACAGCAGTGTTATAAGTCCTAATGAATATGACAGAAAAGGATACATCAATGAAAACTGTTTCAACAAAAACTGGGACAACAAACATCCTTGTTTAAAATTTGCATGGTTTTATGCTGGTGTACCTTTCACAGAAGTTCCAAGTAAGCCTCATTTTTATGGAATTATTAATTTTTGTTTAGAATATAAATTTTATTGTGGATGCATTGTTATTTGTAGGATACCAATTTTCCTTAATTTTTAGGGTAAATGTGAATTTAAATGTATAACAAAGTATGTATTTTCTATAGGCTTGTATACATGAAGACTTAATTAAAAAAAATTATAATTATAAATCTGTATCGTAAGTATTTTATTTACATATTTGGATTACTATGATTATGATATTTCAGCCTGTGATCCCTTGTCAGCTGCAGACAGTTATATTTGGAACTGTGAGAAAGACCTACTTCCAAATGAAGTTACCCCATACAGGAACTGCACACCAGTGTGTAATGAGGGATATACCTTACTACAGAATGTGACAACTAGATGTAGTGTACACCTGACATGGACTTGGTTTGGAGATAAGGATAAACAGTTTTGTGAAAAGACACATTTAGAAGGTATTTGCATTGATACTGGTAAGATGTTAGAAGATGTAGCCAATTATCGTAACTTTATTGATTTCCTTGCAAAGGCAAAAATATCAGATTTTGACCCAACTTCAATTGCTTAGAAAAAGGTGAAAAATATATTTTTTGACCAAAAAAAAGAGATGTAATTAAAGTTCAGACATTATCTGTCTAAATATATGTCAGTAGGAATATTATAGATGAGGGAGTTATGTCAATGATATAGTGACAGAACAACTAAAAAAAAAAGACATACTGAGGTCAATATAATTGTAAAACTTTACTTTTTGAAGAATAGGCTGCTTTTTATCAATTTTGTCCAGGTTTCATACATTGCAAAGTTGGTAATGTCTTACAGTTTGTGGAATAGTGTATACATATATATTTTGGGTAATTTACTCCTCCTACATATTTCAGGTAATTGACTCCTCCTACATATTTTTGGTAATTGACTTCTCTTACATATTTTGGGTAATGTCCGGACTCCTCCTACATAGTTATGTTAATTGACTCCTACATATTATAGGTAATGGACTCCTCCTACATATTTGAGGTAATTGACTCCTCCTACATATTTGAGGTAATTGACTCCTCCCACATATTATAGGTAATTGACTCCTTCTACACATTATAGGTAATGGACTCCTCCTACATATCTTGGGTAATTTACTTCTGCTACACATTTTAGGTGATTGACTCCTCCTACATATCTTGGGTAATTGACTCCTCCTACATATTATAGGTAATTGACTTCTCCTACATATTATAGGTAATTGACTCCTACACATTTTAGGTAATGGACTCCTCCTACATACTATAGGTAATGGACTCCTCCTACATATCTTGGGTAATTGACTCCTCCTACCAGACATGGGGTAATGCAAATTTGTAATTGTAATGCATGGTAATGCATTTCATTTTTGTAAGTAATTGCATGTAATGTGTAATGCAGCAATTTTTGCATTACATGTAATTGTAATATAATGCATTACTTGAGAAAAAAGTTGTGTAATTTCATGCATTACATAGCATTACATGGCATTACTTTTTTCACATACTATATATCGTTCACAAATTGTTGGAGATTCAGCTTAAGCAGAATTTAGGATTTCTGGATTAATTAAGAACATAATCATTTGGATATTGCTTTTTTTTTTATCTGAAAAACATTACTATTAAAGTGTTTTATTGTTGTTCAAACATCAATGAGTAGTTTGTTATGATTAAACAACAGAAACTTGACTATTGTCATAAGCACTAATTAGTTTGTTTGACAATCAATCTTTTCACCATTTCACAACTGGTCATAAATTAAGCTCTTTGTTTATTATATAATTAGGAAAGAAATTCTCATATATATTTTTGATTGGAATTTATAAAACAAAAATTTAATGTATATTTATAAAAATGAAGTTTACATTAGTTAAAATAATATTAAACTTTATCTCTGTAATTTCTGTTTAGAGAAAACACAGAGATGTTTACCTTGAAACCCTTATGATTTTAAAATGTAACTTTTGTATTGAATACTAAGACTTTTTACTTGTTACTTAAATTTAATAGTTATACCGAACAGTTATTGCATATGCTAGAATTTTTGTGTTGTTTTTCAAAATGTTTGATTTTTTTTCACTTAATTATATCATTTCCAAATGTAATGTGTAATTCAATGCACTACATTGCAAAAGTAATTGTAATATAATGCATTACTTTGATAAATGCAAGTAATTGTAATTGTAATTTAACATGTTTAATGCATGCTTTTGTCAAAGTAATTGTAATATAATGCATTACATTGCAATGTAGTTCGCCCCATGCCTGCCTCCTACATATTATAGGTAATGGACTCCACCTACATATTTGAGGTACTGTAAATCCAGAAATTATTGCGTGCATTTATTATTGCGATTTTTCAATTTTTCAAGAATGGACAAAAATGCGAGATTAATTATTACGATTTCAGGAAAATCTCCATACAGATGTATGTTTCAGATATCAAAATGCAAGTTCTTATTATTGCTATACTCACGCAGCTGCATTTTTTCGCATAAATAAAAACCGCGCAATAATATTTGAATTTACAGTAATTGACTCCTTTTACATATTTTAGGTAATTGACTCCTACATATTATAGGTAATGAACCCCTCCTATATATCTTGGGTAATTGACTCCTTCTACATATTAAAGGTAATAGACTTCTCCTACGTATTAAAGGTAATTGACTCCTCCTACATATTTTAGGTAATTGACTCCTCCTACATTTTTTAGGTAAATGACTTCTCCTACATATTTTAGGTAATTGACTCCTCCTACATATTTTAGGTAATTGACTCTTCCAACAAATTTTAACTGACTGATTCCTCCTACATATTTTAGGTAATCAGCTCCTACTGTTTACGTCTGAGGTCATTAAAGCTTCACAAAAAGTTTGCACATCTATAGAAGTTGAGCACCTCTCATAATCATTATAATAGAGTTATTTTAAATTGTTTCCATATTTTTACCATATATTTACATATGATAATTGACCAGTCTCCATTCTTAAGACTTTCAGAACTAGCCTTGGTGTTTGATCCACTTTTCATATTTTGTTCTGCAATTAATTGTTGTTCTGACCTTATAATTCAGTCAAAAGATTTTTTTACACAAGTTAGGTAGGAAATGATTTGTATTTTAAATATCTTGTCAAATTATTTGTATATTTTGTATAAATGTTTTATTTTTAGTGCTTTACATCAAATTTAAAGTATAATTATTTACAACATGTCAATTGATGATTTATCAGTAAATTTCAGCTTATAAAATTATTTTTTCTGGGTACTTAAAATTGAAATATTATAAATTTTTTAACATCTTTACTCTCAGATTTCACACAACCTCCTTCAGATAGATTTCCAATAACCACAGTCTCAGAAAAATTTCCAAGCTCCACAGTCTCGGAAAGATATCCAAGCACTACAATCTCAGAAGGACCTTCAAACACAGTTTCTACAGTATCAGTGTCGTCTAATGAAATAGTTTGGACCTTATCAGGCTTAACAGCCAGTCATATAAATGAAACAGCTTTGGAATTAACATGGAAGGTGAGAGTTATGTTATATCAGATTTTGAATTTGGTTAAAAAGTTGGTAAATGGGGTTTATACATTTTGCAGTGGTGTTCAATACAGTTACTTCTTGGGTCTGGGACTAGCTTGATTAAAATACCATATGAATCAAAACATTTCTCCGTCTAAGATACTACAGAATAATGTTTTTGTATTGTTTTGGATATCTGTGATACAAACATGATCAGCAAACATATCAAGCAGAGCCATCAGTTGCAGGGTGAGCTCATATTCGATTTGATAAAGTCAGCATAATAATATAAAACACCATTTTAATTTTTTACCTGTAATTTAATTTCCTTTTTTTTTTCTTTTTGGTTGAGAATTTTAAATTATGAAATAATAATGAAATAGTGAGTAAAAGTTTTTGTGAGATAGAAAACCTTGCACTCTTTTGGTTGTAGGAATGAAGTCTCATGCATTTCATTGATAAATTGATGCAGATGGACATGAACATATATAAATGAGATTGCTGAACTCAAACAAGAGGACATTGACTTATATTTTTCAAGTATCAGGTCCTGCTCTTGATCTAGAAAAATTACTAGGCTGTAAGATAGAAGGGAAAATATTAGTGATGTCAACTCGGTGAAATTTTACTAATTGAGTACTCCTTTGATTTACAGAGCAATAGTCGAGTACTCGCTCAGAAAAATATAGACAGAATGGAAACACTAAATTATACCCAATTTGCTCATCATTGGTCGTTGTCTTATGTATGTAAAACCCTCAACACTATTACCTAGGACTAGATAAAAGTCCCAGGGGTTTTATATCATAATTAATAGCTCATTTACTACATGTACTAATTATGTGAACTGGCAATAATCTTATCAATTAACTAATGAACTATGGAAAAAAAATTACTCAAACAACAGTATTTGTGAATCCTAGAAAAATTGCATTTAATGATCAACAAAGGGTTGATGATTAGAACTTACTGATGCCTTTAACCTTTCTCTGAGAGTCTACACAGGGTGCAACAAATTTCGTCTTTTTAAGTAATAGTATCTTACAAACTTTTTCTGGGATGAGTTGACTTTTTTACCTAACTTATAGTCCTGCTTATGAAAATATTTGCTTGGACGTACTGAGGTGTTTGAATGACTAAAAGAGGATAAACTGAAGTGTATACCTTGAAGCTTGGAAATGTGCTCTTGTTCATGAGGGAGTTTTAAAATTAAACGCAAACATCCAAGTGTCATTAATTTTTATTAATATTTAATTTTCCGGGAGTCATGCTTAATAAAAAAAAAAAAACAGTTTTCTTTAAGAAGGCAACAACATTATAACAGAAACCTGATAGTTGAGTATCATTTTGGTATTCGATACTCGGTACTACTGAGCCATATTCAAGTACTCGTTGACATCCCTAGAAAATATACAAATCTCCTTTAAAGTTGTTTATATAAAGTTGCTCCTTTTGAACCCAAATATGTCATAATTAAAAACTAAATCTGTGGTTCTATAATATACACCAAGTTAATTTTGTTTGAAATGTTAAAATGTATCACTCTTGTCAAAAATAAAATGTCTTCACCCTTTTTAAATAATTAACAATATACCTATAAATTAATCCAATAATCAATATTTTGGTTTATAAGACTAGATTGGATGGTTATATAGACATATTTATTATCTATCTATTCCATGTCCAATTACATGTGATCAGCTTTTTTCACATCAAAGTGATTGCCATGGCTACTTAAGGCCATGAAAGGTCATGTGCAAAATGTATAATGCTTAGTGCAAGTTGAGTTTAAACTCTGTTCAGCATGAATTTTAATCACTGTTCTTTTGTATTTTTAGAGTAAGAGTTATGTCCCTTATACCTACAAAAATGTTTTACTTATATAAGTTAAAACCCCAATGCTCTATTAGAGTGTCTATTTGTCTGTCTTTAATAGTTGTTTTTACCATTTATAAATGTATCATTTTATGGACAATATACATCTCATTTATCTGTCATATTCTTCAAAATACAACCTATTTAGTAATTTACATTTATATTTAGTGTCTAGGAAATCATTATTGCATGTCTTCTTTTTGAGACAGTCAAAAGTATGTATGTATGCAATTTCAATAATTGTTTCTTCCCTTTATCCAGGTATCCATATCACCTGCAGGAAGTCATCATTATCCCAATGGATACAACATATCTTACAACAAACAAGGGGAGCAAACTCATCATATAACCTTGAAAGGTTATCTGCTGAACACTACGATATCAGAGTTGGAGCCAGATACAAAGTACTTCTTTAAATTGTGTGCTAAAGGAACTAATGAACGAGATGAGATTTGTGCAAACACAACAGTACAAACTAAAGCTAAAGGTTAGAATATTTATTGATCATCTGCAACTCTTTTCTCAAAAAATCTTACGATTAAAATTGATCGTTTACTAAGTTTTAAGAATAGAGTACGTATAAATTACAAGTATTTTCAAAAAATTTTGTGAAAAGAGCTGCTGGCCTTAGGGATATATATGTGAAGATATTTGATACGTCAGAAAATTAACTTTGCATGAAGTAAGAAATAGGGGAGAAAATAACCATAAACACAAAGACAAACAATTAGGAAAAACACATTTTTGGTCTTCAAACAGTTCAGCATCCTCTAAAATATTTATTTTGAAAATTAGATTCTGCCAAAATATATACTTCAAAGACCAATAGTTTTTCATATGTGTTACGTTTTGAAGAAAAACTGCTTAATCTTACACCTGTGAAAAAATAAGCTATTTAAAAAAATTTAAAAATAAATTATCTGAAACATTAAAGCTTGCTGTAAATGCACGAAGGCAAGCCAGCAAAAACCACTCAATCAATCAACCAATTTAGAAGCTAATCTGTTTATATGAAATGTATCATTACAGAGGTATTAGTTGGAAAACAATCACCAGGGGATGATAATACTGTGATTTTAATTGGTGAGTTTATTTCCCTTTTTTTTAAAGGATAGATATGATAGATGTTAACTGGAATCATGAAAACAATGAATGACAGCAATGTTAATTTCTTATTTGGCTATTTCCTATTTACAAAAATTTTAACATTGGTTAATTGTACTAAATCAACTTCAGAAATCATAAATCTATACTATTAAATGAGAAGACAAAATTTTGTGTGTCGCTTCTCTCCCTTCCACAATAAATTAATCATCATGACTCTGTGCCCTATAGGTACCATGCATAGTCGCATTTGTCATCCTCGCTTATGATAATTCAGTTTGGGTTATTTGGAGAGAAAAACGAAAATGAAGGCGTTTTGAAAATTGTTTCCGTCATCGGACAAACTTTTAAGTCATAGACAAGACTTCCATTTGGACTGTTTTTAAAAATACACAAGTACTTGGGGACAGGACAATTATTTTGGCGTTTTTCTGTATACTATGATCATACATATACTATAAATAAAGTATATTTGCTATTTACTATCAATTCGAAGTTTACTATCCTAGGCGATATAGTCATTATAGAGACTTTCTTTAGAATATATCAGTGACAGTCGCGGATAGTAAACAAAAATAATTCATTTTGGAAAAAAAGGGGAGGCCTAAATTGTCCTGTCACCAAGTACCTATTACTTTTGATACCTTTCCTGAAATTTTCCTGTCATAAAATCTTTTACAAAAATTCATCCTACAACAGTTTACCTAATTTCAACCATGCTCTAAATGCCTGAGACTTCGAGGGTGTGTTCTAGTATCATATATATATATATCAGGGCTAGAAAAACATGTGTAAATTAATAATTATTCTTGGGGTCCTAGTTTTTGTTTTTTTCATTGTGAACAAGGAATTAAAGTATTCAGTGAAATACAAATTACATTTTGGCTTGTAGCCTACTATACAGTATGTTTTTTTCTAATTGTTGAAGCCGGACAGTTGCCTTTAATTGCTTTCATCCACTTCATTTGAAAATTGATGGATAGTTGTCTCATTGGCAATCATACCACGTCTCATTATTTGTATACATGTCTTGCTTGCAGAATGAGTTAACACCACCAATTTAAAGGGGCATTAGCTGTCAAATTTATGCTCACCGATTTGAATCAAATTCTCATATTTGATTTACAACATACTCAAACGTATTACTTAATTTCAATAAGTCTGAAATAAAAAATTATCAATATGTATCAGCATTTCGAGATGAGCACAAAAAACTGGTGACGTTCATGTAACCCAATATAAACATTTATGAAAATTTAAATAGATAGCGACCACATGCAATCAGATTAATCTAGGTCTGTTTGATTTCATAAAGTATGTAAAAAAGTATGTTTATCATTGTTTTTACCTGTAAGAGTGATTTTTTTGTTGATCAAATCAGTCAACCAAATTGTTAATCCTTGTTCATTTTCAATGTAGACATTCTTTTCCTTTTCATAGCTGAATACTGCATAACCCATCTTCAGCTAAGGGGTTAGATGGAAAATCACATGAATACAGATTCAATTCAAGTTTGAACCAAATTGGCTGCTTATAATTTCACTATTTCATGATCACTTTCTTTAATGATTGAACAAAATGTTTAGGATAAAAAACATCATTATTGAATTTGGAGTGAATGACATAAAAATTCCGTGAACCTGTACTTTGAATGACGTCATAAATAAAACTCAACAGAAACGCATTGTCAACCGGTTATAAATATAAACTGGAATCTGCTTGTATTACGCTTCACTCAAACTGATGAACAAAGCTTATCATAAACAGGGAGATATATATATGGTCAGTGACTGTACATCAAAAATGATCGGAAATGATTATACGGCCAATGCAATTTGACTGCGCAAATAGCACAGCTGCAGTATATATACAAGAATTATACATTCAAGTAGAAACTCCATATGATACCTGATTACACTAAAGTTTCTGAGGTCAAGATGGATACAAAGAACATTTGGTGGAATTAAACAATTATATCATGCTTACAACATGTACAAGGGGTATTTGCCAAAAATACCCCAAGTGTAAGCAAGATATATTTGTATAGTATCTCCTAGCTAATGCCCCTTTAGATTCACACAAAATACATTTTTCCAAATTCCACCAAAAAAGGTTCCAAGAAAAAAAACAAGATTCAACCAAATTCTAGTATATTTAATGCAATCAAGGTAATAAATAATACTTAGTCCATGGTTTTTTAATTTGTTAACTTTTTGGTTTATGAATTTTTAGCTCACCTGGCCCAAAGGGCCAAGTGAGCTTTTCTCATCACTTGGCGTCCGTCGTCGTCGGCGTCATCGTCCATCGTCGTTAGCTTTTTACAAAAATCTTCTCCTCTGAAACCACTGGGCCAAATTTAACCAAACTTGGCCACAATCATCATTAGGGTATCTAGTTTAAAAAATGTGTCCGATGACCCCGCCAACCAACCAAGATGGCCGCCATGGCTAAAAATAGAACATAGGGGTAAAATGTAGATTTTGGCTTATATCTCTGAAACCAAAGCATTTAGAGTAAATCTGACATAGGGTAAAACTGATTATCAGGTCAAGATCTATCTGCCCTGAAATTTTCAGACAAATCTGACAACCTGTTGTTGGGTTGCTGCCCCTGAATTGGTAATTTTAAGGAAATTTTGCAGTTTTTGGTTATTATCTTGAATATTATTATAGATAGAGATAATCTGTAAACAGCAATAATGTTCAGCAAAGTAAGATCTACAAATAAGTTGTCATGACCAAAATTGTCAGTCGACCCCTTTAGGAGTTATGGCCCTTAATAGTCAATTTTTAACAATTTTTTGTAAATTTTTGTAATCTTTTACAAAAATCTTCTTCTCTGAAACTACTGAGACAAATGTAACCATACTTGGTCATAATCATTATTAGGGTATCTAGTTTAAAAAATTTGTCCGATGACCCCGCCTTCCAACCATCATGGCCGACTTGGTTAAAAATAGAACAATGGGGTAAAATGCAGTTTTTGGTTTATATCTCTGAAACTAAAGCATTTAGAGCAAATCTGACAGGTGGCAACTGTTCCTCAGATTTAGATTTATCTGCCTTGAAATTTTCAGACAAATCCGACAACCCGTTGTTGGGTTGCTGCCCCTACGTTAGTAATTTTACAAACATTTTGCAGTTTTTTGTTATTATCTTAGATATCATTATTATATCTAATACTATTAATTATGATTTTAACCTTATTTTACATGATTTCCAAAGCATCAGTAAATACAGGTGAGCGACACAGGCTCTTGAGAGCCTCTAGTTTATGTTTAAGATAGATAAGTCTGTCAGTATATTTTTTTTTTATGGTCTACCGAGCATTAAGTGTTACCCTTGACCGTTCGTCATTCTGTCTGTCTATCTGTCCATCTGTCTATCTATCAATCTTTCCCATTTTCTTTTTCGCTCTCTAAGTCAAGTTTTCCTCATCCAAATTTACTGCATGTGAAACTCGTTCAAAGACATATCATTTGACAAGGATGAGATTTTGGCAAATCATAAGTCCTTCATCATTGTTCATGGCTTCAATGAACATTACATTGAACAACAAATCAGAGGACTTATCTTGTTTGTATTGGATACCTAAGCTTCACAAAATTCTGTACAAACAACGGTTTATTGCCGGCTCATCTGCATGTTCCACTAAAGAATCGTCCATTAGATTGACTAAAATTTGGTCCGCAGTGAAAGAGGGTCTTCAGAAATACTGTGAAACTGTTTACTCGCGTAGTGGTATTAACCATATGTGGATTCTTAAAAATTCTAAAGAACTCCTGGATAATTTTAAATCTCGGTCTTTTTCTGAAATTAGTTCTATCAAAAGTTTTGATTTTTCAACCCTGTAATTACCACCATTCCCCATGTGAAATTTAAAAATCGCCTGAAAGAAATAATCCACAATGCCTTTCAACATAAAAATGGAACATACGCTATAAATTTATTACTTTGGGATATCATAAGGCATATTTTGTTAATAGTGAACAAACGGGTAAAACATGCTACACAGAGGAGCAAGTGATCAGTATGCTGGAGTTTCTTATTGACAACATATTTGTTGAATTTGAGGTAGACTTTTTCAACAAATTGTCGGCATTCCTATGGGAACGAACTGTGTGCCTCTCCTTGCCGATCTCTTCTTATTTTCATATGAATCGGAGTTCCTTCAGACACTTGTCAAAAACAAGAAGATCAAAGAAGCCAGACTATTTAATTTCACTTTCAGATATATTGATGATGTTCTTTCCATTAACAATCCAAACTTTTCTGATTGGCTTCCATTAATAATATATATCCCAGAACTAGAAATTAAAGAAACAACAAACACGGCTTCCTCAACTTCATTTTTAGACTTATACCTCAAGCTTGACATACACAGTCATCTCAGTACCAGAATCTATGACAAACGAGACGATTTTAATTTTGAAATTATCAATTTCCCCCACCTTAGTAGCAATATACCAACTTCACCTGCATATGGGATGTACATTTCCCAACTTATTCGATATACAAGAGCTTGCAGCTCCTACTCAGACTTTGTTAAACATCACCAGTGTCTGAGCAGAAAGTTGATGAACCAGAGGGATGTCAAAGAACATCTCGTCCTATTTCTAAAAAAGTTCATCGGAAGGTACCAAGACCTTGTTGATAAATATTCTGTATCAACTTCACAAATAATACATGATGGTCTTGGTGTATAGATTCTGTGTACTGACATTGTTTATCATCTTAATAACGTGTTATATTGTTCTTTTATTTGTCTTTGTTCTTTTATTAATATTACTTTTACTGTTTGGTCTGTTTTCGTTGAAATCCATTTGACGTGGCTCGGTACTTATACATCCAGTCAATGTGTTGTTTGTATTATCTTTCATTTTTGCTGGTGTGTTTTGTACGTGTGACTTTTTGTGTTTCTTTGGTACATATGACATGGCTCTGTACTTTTAAACATCCTGCCATTATGTTATTGTTCTATTATAATGCCATTTTGTTATTGTTCTATTATGATTTTGAAAAAACTTTGAACGACAAAATTATTTTATATCTCTTCCTGTGTGACGTTTACATTCTGACGTCAAAAACGCCACTCTGCACTAGAATTGATGTGAACCTTTCTATTCAGTCACAGGACGTCAAACATTTCAATCTTTTATGGGTTGATTTAAAGTACATATATATATATATACAGGGTTTGTTGCTCGTGCTGTGTGGATGCAGTAGAATGTGTCCCCGTGCTTGTGGTGTATGCCCTTATATTTTTTGATTATGGGTTGTTTGCCTGTGAGAGAGCTTTCACATGTTTATATCTTTGTTCTTAATTGTCAATTATATATTATGGTGTAATGTTATTCAGGTTTATATCTGGTCTATATACCATCTTTGATAAGTGTTTGGTATAACTATAAATTTTCACTTCGTACTATGAACATCAAAATTATTTATTTTGTAAAAATATTTCCTTTCTCTATTGGTACTGTACACGTATACCTAACAACAAAATTATTTTCATTTACCTGTGTTTAAAGTTATTACAAATGGCTGATATTATTGTTCGAGCATATTGTTTTTCTTTAATTGTTTAACATTTCTTACCGATATAACATGTTACTTTTATTATTCTACCCTTAGTTTATTTATTTTGTATTTACGTTGTGTCATAGGTCAAATTTATTTGTTCAGTGTATGTTCAATGGTGTTAATATGTCCTTTGATTGAGTTAAGCTATTTCAGTTGATATTTTATAGTGTGTCTTTCTATGTTGTGATGTTACACTATTGTTTCAGAAAAAGGGTGAAGGTTTGGTACCATTAAAACGTTTAAACCCGCTGCATTTGTTTGCACCTGTCCTAAGTCAGGAATCTGATGTTCGGTAGTTGTCGTTTGTTGATGTGGTTCATAAGTGTTTCTCGTTTCTCGTTTTTTATATAGATTAGGCCGTTGGTTTTCCCGTTTGAATGGTTTTACACTAGTAATTTTTTGGGGCCCTTTATAGCTTACTTTTCGGTGTGAGCCAAGGCTCCGTGTTGAAGACCGTACTGTGACCTATAATGGTTTACTTTTATAAATTTTGACTTGGATGGAGAGTTGTCTCATTGGCACTCATACCACATCTTCTTATATCTATATAAGTAAGCAACGAATGTGGTTGTTAAATTTGATAGATGCTTCTTTGTGCTTCTTTGTTAAATATTTGTTCGTTTTTGTTCTAATTGAGATTGTGATGCGGTGATGACTGCTTTACCCCCTGTTTTGACAATTTTACCTATTATGTCTGTTTTGTTCACGCATCGTTGTAAATATAATGGAATTTGATAAGACTGTCATACAAGTGAGAGGTTTAGTGCTATAAAACCAGGTTCAATCCACCATTTTCTACTTTAGAAAATGCCTGTACCAAGTCAAGAATATGACAGTTGTTGTCCATTTGTTTGATGTGTTTTGTCATTTGATTTTGCCATTTGATTTAGGGACTTTCTGTTTTGAATTTTACTCGGATATAAAAAAGAAGATGTGGTATGATTGCCAATGGGAGTTTAGTATTTTTGTGATTTTACTTTTTCGCAATGCTAAGAACCACAAAATGTAGACAGAGTTTGAATTTGGGCAGTGAGTCATTTACAGATCTTGAGTTAGACCTGGTTTAACTTTCTTCTTTTACTTCGACATTATTGATATGCATGGAATTATTGTGCACTTCAGCTTAATGACAATACTTGTTATCTCCATTTTTGTCATCATTCCTTAAGTTTACATTCCAAACATTTTTTCTCAGCTGTTTAATATACCAGTCAAGGGTCTAACTTAAATAAGTTATTAGAGAAAAATAACATACATTTGTTATTGAGGGCTAAAAAATCAAAAATCTGTGATAACATATGTATGTTACATGTTTCAAAGGGGCATTATACATCCTTTATTTTGTTAAATTGTGTACTAGTTCTATTGATATTATAATTGTCTTTATGTATATTAAACTTTAGAAAGATATAACAGCCCATAGTTTGCCAATCATGCATAACACACCCATGTCATTACAGAAAAAATATGTCTGTAAAAACTAAAGGGTGTTATTACAGCTTCTCTACATCTCTTCAAAGCCTTTTCTCCTAAATATATCACACTGTATTTTAATTTATTGTAATAAATAATGATAAGAGCATGTAATGAGGTTTCTCTAGTGTTAAAGATTTATTTTTTTTGTAGGGATTGTTGCTGGATGTGGAGTTTTATTGGTATTTTTTGCTGTAATTATAATTTGTATGTGTAAAAAGCAAAGATATTCACCATCTTCCAGTTCAAGCAGTGACCAGTATTCACTAGTTGGTCGAGGTACATGGTATTTTTATATGCAGAATTAATAAAACAGTGTTGGTATTATGCAGTCACTAAACCCATCAAGGGCAATACTTAGAGAAGTTATTATATTTTATTATTTATTTAGGTCATGTAGGTCATTTTATAAGAAAATAGCAGAAATTGCAATACTCCTTATCACTATTTGTTCCTATCTGAATATTAAGTTCTAAAATTACATAACTTGGCTCAACCTTTATATATGCTATGTAATATCATCAAATAAAAGATTTATTCAAATATTAAGATTTAACACAAATGCAACCACTTCCATTTTAGTCAAGACGGTGTTAGATTAGCACAAATGCTATATTTGTGAAGATTTCACTTATTTTGCATGAACTAATGATGCTATTACCTGATACATGTGCATTGCATTGTCAAAAAACAACCCATATTTATGGAAGGAAAGTATTCTATCTTCCAACAAAGCATTATTCTTTTTCAATGTTGACCCCAAATGACCTAATTGTATTTAGTCTTTTCATCACTGTGCTTCAATAATTATCTTCTGTAATTGGCAGATTTTTGTCGAGCCTTCGACTTTTGTCGAAAAAGCGAGACATAGCGATCCTACATTCCGTCGGCGTCGTCGTCGTCGTCGGCGGCGTCCACAAATATTCACTCTGTGGTTAAAGTTTTTGAAATTTTAATAACTTTCTTAAACTATCCTGGATTTCTACCAAACTTGGACAGAAGCTTGTTTATGATCATAAGATAATATTCAAAAGTAAATTTTGTAAAAAAAAAATTCCATTTTTTCCGTATTTTACTTATAAATGGACTTAGTTTTTCTGCCAGGAAACATTACATTCACTCTGTGGTTAAAGTTTTTGAAATTTTAATAACTTTCTTAAACTATCCTGGATTTCTACCAAACTTGGAAAGAAGCTTGTTTATGATCATAAGATAGTATCCAGAAGTAAATTTTGTAAAAAAAAATTCCATTTTTTCCGTATTTTACTTATAAATGGACTTAGTTTTTCTGCCAGTTAACATTACATTCACTCTGTGGTTAAAGATTTTAAAATTTTAACAACTTTCTTAAACTATCCTGGATTTGTACCAAACTTAGACAGAAGCTTGTTTATGATTAAAAGCTAGTATCTAGAAGGAAATTTTGTTCCATTTTTTCCGTATTTTACTTATAAATGGACTTAGTTTTTCTTCCAGTTAACATTACATACAGTCTGCAGTTTAAGTTTTTAAAACATTTATTAGATTCATAAACTATCCTGGATTTTTACCAAACTTGGACAGAAGCTACTTACAATCAAAAGATAGTATAGAGAGGAATATTTTTATTAATTTTTTTCCTCATTTTTGCTGAGCCTGTGATTAACAGCAAAAAGTAGGCGAGACACTGGGTTCCGCGGAACCCTTACGAATTTTTCATACTTTAATCAGAAGTACCATTACAGAGTTAGCACAGTGGATGCAAAGACTAAATACAATTAGGCCATTTGGGGTCAATTTTAAAAAGGAATATCATCTTTAATATGATTCGATTTAATTTGACTTTCATTTGTAAAAAGATATTATGATGTAATGATATCATTAATTTAAATTGATAAATTACGTCTTAGTTATATATGCTTTTATGTAATTTAAATCCCTGTTGTGATATTTAGTTTACTGTTTGTTTTACATTCCTTTTTAACAGAAAACTCGAAGAAAAGTTCTACATCTGAAAAAGGGAATAATTTCAGCCCTGTAAATTTATTTGTGAAATGTACAGAAACATCATTTTCTGAGAATAGTTATTCATCAACAAGTGACACAGTTTCTTCAAATTTAACTGACAGTCCAGATGGTTTAAAAAAAGGTAAACCAAAGGATAGTACCAAAATTGGTGAGTCTGAAGAAAAGTTTATCGCACAAGATGAGAAACAAGATAACAATAATAGTCCTCAAAAAAGGCAAGACAATTGTCTAGAAAATTTGAAGTCCAAAGAAAGTAGTGTAACAAAAAATGACAATCAAATATATGAACAGAAAGCAGTTTCAGAACAAATTAGACTTGAACAGGAGTTGAAATGTGGTGAAAGTAATGAAATTCATACAGACTTTGATAATCACAGTAATTCATCAGCTGGTGAACTGCATATGAGTATGGGATCATCTGAAAATTCAACCGTTAACACTGTGGAAGAAGTGCAAGTTTCATTTAACGGAGCTGGAGAAAAAGTAGCTTTGTTGAAAGGGGGTCACACAGACAATAACATTTCAGATCAAGTTTTAAAGGATGAAAGTTTGGAATGTGCAGACAACAAAATAGGATGTTCATCTTTTTTATTTAAACGTGTTGAACTATTTGATGCGCCTTCGCTAGATGACTTTTCAAATATGTCAACCCAAAAAACAGCTCTGTCATCAGAGTCACCTTATAATTTTAACATGAATAGAAATGATGCTCACAAAATAAGCCACCACAAAGATCTGAATATGGATGACTCTGATGAATATCATTTGCATGCATTGGACCCACCATTGGAACCACGATCTGCACACCCATATGCTGATACACGATTTCAGCCCCCTGCAGTAAATGAAAATTTTCCATTTACACCAAAACCAGATTCTTATGATTTTAACGAGTCTGAATCATTACAGCCAAATGAAACATTACATTCATTGAAAAAGCCTCACAGGACATGCAGTAGTGAACATAAAATATCTACTGTAGGTCATGTTAATTTGAACCACAAAATTTCTTCTGCCAATAGTGGAGTTTCATCATGTGACATCGATGCAATGAACAATCAGGTTTTTGAACCAACAGTCCCTGTTGTATCTTCTGCCCCTTTGATACCAGCAGCACAAATAAACAGACATGAAAATTCCCAATACAAAACCACAGAAGACGATCATGTGAGGAACAGAATTCATAATGAAACCATTGATCATAGACTTTTTGAACCAACATTTACACTTTCAAATACTCAGCATATAGTGGATGAAAATGAGACTGGCCATTCAAGTACTTCAAATAGGGACAATGAAGACATTTTCACTGACAGGTCAAAAAGAGTTAATTCATTACCTACAGGATTGCTTTATACCTGCCAAATAAGTTCTATTACAACTAATAATGCAGAAAAAGGTAATTTTTTGCATTTTTCTTAAATTTTCCTTTCATCTTTTTACGTGATAATTTTTCGTATCATGCTACTCAAGTGACATGGGTTTTTCTCAGTCAAGTAAAAAGTGAATGTATGACGTCATGAGCCTATTTCATTGAAACTGCCTAGGAAAACAGCAATAGACAGATTATTAATGGTCTTTTAAACTCAAGGATATTTCTTGGCTACATCTTAGGGCTTGTTGCTGTTCAAAGAGATGAGTACTAAGAAACACCCTTTTGTTTTTAAAAACCATCAATAATCTATAATTGAATCAGATGTGTTAAAATTATTAAAACTTTTTCCTGAAAATTTATAAAAAGAAAATCATTTAAATTGAAACATATGTTCAATTTATTTGTAGTAATTTTTGAAGTTCTTCTTGGACATGGTATTTTATAATTCTAGAAGAAAGTTTGAAATCTTCATTTTGCAATGCCATAATTCATAATTGAATCATCTACTCCATTTGGTCTCTGGAGGATAGTTGTCTCATTTGCAATCATACCACATCTTCATATTTTTATATAATAAGCTTAAGCATGTTAAGGGTTTAAAGGTTTACTCACACTACTGATACTACATACTTTTTATTTCAGTTTTAAATTTATGCACAATGTCAGTAAGTCGAGCAATGGACTATCTAGCTATAGGACCAGATTTTTTCAAGAATCTTGGTTACTTTCTGGACCCACATAGTAATTATGGTAATGAAAGGTCATGGTATGGGTTAACATTGGCTGTTTTAAGATTACCAGAAGAAAAGGTCAAAAGCATAAGGTAAATATATCTATAAAAATGAACAAATTTGCTCTGCAGCTTGATAATGATGAATTGTGGGATGTAAAAATGTTTTACATCTGCTATGCAGCCACTTCCTGTTTTTGGATAGTATGAAATTATGCAACACCTATTGTACAACATGTACAAGGAAAATTTATTTCAATGTTCAGTTTTTATCATGATTGACATGATTGACTTTAAAATATCATTAAATATTTCTTAACATCCAGAAAACATTGTCAAAAAATACATTTACAAAAAATACAGTATTTAAAGTATATTCAAATGTTGTTTTTTGTAGTCACCATACTAAAGGAAATCCAGAGATTGGCCACTTTCTAGCTACTTTAGAGTATTATGTTGCAGAAGAGAAACATCTCAGTGACATTGTCCAGTATTTTGTTCAGCCACTTTCTTTAAGACTGGATGTAATACAGTACTTCAAAAAACATCACAAAGACTGTTCTGTGTGTAATGCATTATACCTGACAGTCCCACACAGAAGGGACATTTCAAATTCTACGGAGGATGTTAGAAAAGTGAGTGCTTCTCACCACGAAGGAAGTTAATGATTTTTAGTTGTTACTTGTAAGAATGTCATCATTCAGCTATATTTATACTGTCATTTAACATGTTTAATTTAAACTGGATTTTAGTTTAAAGAGAAATGATTCAAGTATATTTTCAATAGCAGTAATAAACACTCCTTGTTGTTTCTTTTAACATGTGCCAGTCAATTACATAGTTAGATCTTCATATATTTCATTGATAAATTTTCAAACTTTCCTAATACAAATATATTACCTTTTAATTTAATACATTGTAATATGTTTAAACAGAAGTTTTGTAGAAATCTCAGAAAAAATATAAATTCATATTATATTTAAAAGAAGTAGTATAACTGTTAGTTTGAATATTGTAGTAGTACTGTTAATTCAGAAATTAATGTGTTCATTTGTTATTGCAATTTCTTGACCAATGGAAAAAATGTGAAATTTATTTAATGCAATTGAAAAATGTTATGAACATGATGAAGGAAAATCACTTCTGAATTATGAATTTTTAATTTATTATTGCGAAACCTGATACTATCACATATTTTGCATTAATAAGAACATCACATTCATTATCCATTCATTTGATGTGTTTGAGCTTTTGATTTTGCCATTTGATTAGGGACTTTCAGTTTTGAATTTTCCTTGGAATTCAGTATTTTGTGATTTTACTTTTCACAATAATTTCTGAATTTACAGTTCTGTTATTTTTTTAGTATTCATTGGATACAAATTTTTATCAGTCCGTTTACTAGATGTATTATAGTAAACAGTTGTCCATTCGTCAGTCCTAGTCAACATGTTGGACAATAGCTACAAAAAGCTTTAACCATTTTTCATACAACTTTAGTGAATTGTTTATATCAGTGTATATCTGTTGATGTAAACTCTTTTTTATTTTTTTTTATAAATGTTTAGCTTTGTTTAACTTTCTGAGTTATGGGATAATTTTCATACAATAGGGGGGATTTTAAAGTTTGGGACGATAACTCAAAAATCCTTTTAGCAGTTTTCATGAAACTTTGTTGACTGGTATATTTCTATCTAGATAAGCTCCCTTTAGTTTTAAACAAAATTCTGTTATGACATTGAGGATTATGGAACTTTATTGGTTGAAAAAGCAACAGGCATATCATGTGCTCATGGCGCAGCTCTTTATTCACTACAAACCAGTAAAGTCTGAAATGGCCTATATCTGTACTCGACTGTACTGATTTTTACTCGACCAGTCTGAATTGGTCTGAATTTTACTCGACATTACTCGACCCCAGTCTTAACCATACTCGACCGTACTGATTTGTACTTGACCCTTATCTTTGCCATTGAAAATAGTCTGAACTATTACTCGACCAGTCTGAAACAGTCTTAACCCATTCTCGACCTGTACTCCACCAATTTTTTCAGTCTAAACCATACTCGACCAAAGGTCTGAACAATACTAGACCAGTCTGAACCATACTTGACCAAAAAACCTATATTTTTTTTAAATGTTAGCTGTTAAAATTAATTTCTTTTTTTCTGACAATGAAAACAGCCACAATAAAATAAAGATATATATAAAAATATATTTTTACATCCTTACATGATTCTCAGATTTATCAAATAGAGATAGTTAAATTAAATTATCTTATATAATAATTTAATTATATTAATTTTAAAGTTTTAGAGTTTTGTTAAAAAAAAAAATTTCTTTTAACTAAAAACCACACCTTTACTGAGAGTAATAAAACCTTAATAAGGTGCTTCTTGTTTGGCATGTGTTTTTTTTTTTTTTTAAACTTAATTTTCCTAAATTCCTAAAGAAAAACTATATAGGTTTCATGGTTTTATATACAATAGTTATATAATTATCTTTTTAATGAGGTAACAACAGCCAAAAAATCACTGAAATTGTTTAACCTTATATTAGAAATATATCCATTTTTGTTATAATTTGGGATATATTATATATAATATATATCAAAAGGGGATAAAAAAATTAAAGAAATAGATAAATTTTTTCTTCTGATTTATAAAGTAATACCTCCTGCTTGGGGCAAACTCATTAAAAGATCACACCTGGTCAGAGAGTATTAATTTCTAATTAACATTCATTAAAAATTGCAACATCCTGTAAAACTTAAATCGCAAGGCCTTTTGAATTCACTAGATAAGTAATACACGAGTTTAAGAAAAAAAGGGCTTTCTTTTTACCTGTAAAACACACATGTACTGAGATAAATAAACCTTATTAAAGTGCTTCATGTATGCCATGTCTTTAATTTTGACAAAAGTTATTTAAATTTAATTGAAATAAATTTTTTCTGCAGCTTTGGAACACATTTCCTTTTTTAAATGGTTATCAAGGATTGCTATGGAAGTTCTATTATCATGATTATCTTAAATTCTTGGTTTTACAAAACAAAGGTGTTATTTTTAAAATTTATTAAGTTGCTTTATATACTATTTTAAATATATTTTAATAAAAAAAATGTTCACTGCATTATTAACTAAACTCAACTGACACCATAAATCTATACAAGGCTTAAGTAAATGGTGAAAATTGTCCAGTAACCATAAAATATATCTGAAACATTCAAAAAAATTTGAATAACATTGAAAATGTTAGTCCCAATTCGGTTTGAGATTATTTGATCAGTTTGTTTTATTTTTATTTTAAAGGTGATATATATATGTAAGTGTTGATAAATATGGTGTTGAATTTATATTATGTTTATTGTGAAATTTTGGTTTCAATATGCCATATTGAATACATTTTGAATTTCAAATTGTTGTTCAAATTTCTAGCCAGGGGAAATAGCTGTTCAAAACAGTTCCTAAATTGATGAAATACAATAGATTGATACAAAAATTAGGTCTAGGTTGGTTAAGACTTAGTCGAGTATGGTTCAGACTAGGTCGAGTATGGTTCAGACTAGGTCGAGTATGGTTCAGACTAGGTCGAGCATGGTTCAGACGAAAATAAAATGGTTAAGTACTGGTCGAGTACAAGTTCAGACTGTTAAGTATGGTTCAGACTACAGTCGAGTATTATCAAGTAAATTTCAGACCAATTCAGACTGGTCGTGTAAAAATCAGTACAGTCGAGTACAAATATAGGCCATTTCAGACTTTTACTGGTTTGTAGTGATTGTGGAGGTCATGGTTACAGAGGAACCACAAATTCAGATGTTTAACCAATTACAAATTTTCTATAGGAAGATATGCACACTTTGGCAATATCACCATATCAAATATCCACAAAAAAATTGGTATCCACAAAAAATAAATGAATCCTCAATATCAGTTTTTGTCCGATCTCAACCCTGTAGGTGTAACATGTTGACATTTGTAGCTGAGAGAAACTTAACAGTTTCGTAGGAATTTTTACATTTTCATGAAGAGTATGTAATATATTTTAATATTGATGTCATTAATGTAATATTTTATATTTTTTAAAATGAAATTTTAATTTGTCTATAAAATTTATAGAAAGTGCTATCAGATCTTAAAATCCTGTGACATCAGACTTCATGAAATTTTTATGCATGGATATTGTGAATTTTCTTGCAAGTGCAATATATATTTTATGAAAGATAATATTCACCAATGTTTGTGCAATAACCCTTTTATTGTATAGCAAAGCTTGAAAAAAAATTAAATGGTTGATTGCATCAGGATGAAAGCATTTAAAGGGGCACTAGCTGTCAAATTCATGTTCACCGATTTGACTCAAATTCTCATTTTTGTTATATAACAATGTAAAACGTTTATCCAAATTATAAAAAAATCTAAAATAAACAATTTATAGGGCATAGGGTCGATAATATGTAGCTTCGTTTTGTGTGTATTTTAGTCTAGACGCCATCTAATTAACTGTCGAGTTGACCTCCCGAAAACCACCGATGCATATATAAGGGATATAAACATAAATAAAGATATAAATAGATAGCACAACTCGTGCAATTGGATTCTTCTAGGTCTAATTAATTTCATTTATAGATTAAAAATATATGTTAATCATCATTTTTACCTGTATAAGAATGATTTTTTTTGAGGATCGAATCAGTCAATTAAATGAATTACCTTTGTTTACTTTCAATGTTGACATTCTTTTCCTTTGAATAATCAAACATGCACACAATTCATGCGTTATCCAACTCTATCTAAGGGGTTAAATTGAAGTTCACATGAATACGGATTCAATGAGGTTGAATTATTCACTTGCAAGTGAATAATTCATCATCAATATTTATTTGCTGATTTTGACAAAATTAGACAATACTGGCTGCTAAAAGGGAATTATTATTTCACTATTCCACTTTCATTAATGATTGAACAAAAAAAATCATATTTTATAATTTTTATACGCCCGTCAATTTTTGACGGGACGTATTATGGTATACAAATGTCCGGTGTCCGTCCGTCTGTCTGTCCGTCTGGCTGTCTGTCTGTCCGGCGTAAACATGTCGCACCGTAACTTGAGAATGACCTATCCAAATTTCATGAAACTTAACATAGTTGTTTCTTATGATGGTCAAACGATCTGTATACTTTTTGGTGAAAATAAGATTAAAACTTTTTGAGTTACGGGACTTAGTAACTAAAACAGGTGTGTGTTTTTTTCACATGTCGCGCCGTATCTCAAAAACAATTTATGATTATTGCTTAAAACTTTACACACTTCTTAGTTATATTAATCTTAAGATCTGTATACTTTTTGGTGATGATTCAAAATTTTATTTTAGAGATATTGAGTATTTTGTTAAAAAAGGGGGAGGGGTTTTTCACATGTCGCGCCGTATCTCAAAAACAGTTTATGATTATTGCTTAAAACTTTACATACTTCTTAGTTATATTAACCTTAAGATCTGTATACTTTCTTGTGATGATTCAAAATTTTATTTTTGAGTTATTGAGTATTTTGTAAAAAAAGGGGGAGGGGTTTTTCACATGTCGCGCTGTATGTCAGAAACTATTTATGATTATTGCTTAAAAGTTTTCACACTTCTTAGTTATATTAATCTAAAGATCTGTATACTTTTTGGTTTTGATTCAAAATTTTATTTTTGAGATATTGATTTTTTTTTTTTAAAAAGAGGGGTTTTCACATGTCGCGCCGTATCTCAAAAACTATTTATGATTATTGCTTAAATTTTACACACTTCTTAGTTATATTAATCTAAAGATCTGTATACTTTTTGGTTTTTGATTCAAAATTTTATTTTAGAGA